CTCCACATCCTCGTCAACAATGCCGGAGTATCAGGTGATACATGAAATGTAATCATTTGTTTTAAAACGGCGCAGGGAAGTTTTATAATGTGGGGACCATATATTTTGCAGATTTCAAAACCCAGTTGGGCTTCTCACGAGCGAGTAAATCAGTGACTGAAAGCATAATGAAAGAATAAAGAAACATTTAACACCACAAAAACATGCAGCATGCATCCCCATCTGTCACACATCTGGAAGCAAAAAACAAGTCTGAAGTCAAAAATGGTTTCAATTGGACAAGTGACTCCAAACACACTCCAAAACTTGTTTACCCTAACTTAGTTTGTTGCAATGGTTAGAGAATTCCTTATGTCAGCGTGTAGTACTCATTGATATAGAAATCCAAATGTGTTTGTGCATATTTTTATGTACATTTGTATATCTAATTGGCAATCGCATTTAGTTATTTTTTCTATTATCAGGTTTACCCAGACAGATAACCGAAGATGGGCTGGAAGTTTCTTTTGCCACCAACCACCTGGGACCATTTCTTCTCACCAATCTGCTGCTGGGTAAGACTCTGTGGTCTCTCTTTACAGCAGGTATATTATGGATATGAAATGATGATTACATTACAATTGCCTGTCTCTGTCATGAAATTGTATAACAATATTTTGTATTTGTTTACTCTTCCTCTTTCTCATCTCTCACTCACATTCTATTTCACTGCAGACTTGATGAAGCACTCAGCTCCCGCGCGTATCGTCACCCTCAGCTCAGTCAACCATAAGAAGGGTAAAGTGGACTTCTCCCATTTTCATGGCGAGAACCTCACTTATCACATGGATACAGTGTACAACCACACTAAGCTGCACAATGTCATCTGTACCAGTGAGCTAGCACGCAGGCTACAAGGGACAGGTAAGCTGTAATCAAGACCCTTCACCCATTAGTATAGCCACTGAATGGTCTTTCCTATTTAAAAGGTGCTGCAGAAAATGTATGACAATGCAAATGAGAAGCAATCACGATGGATGGATAATGATCCATAAAGAATAAAATGCAAATTTTAAAACGCTCTGCTACCAGCAATGTAGATTAGTAAATACGGTGTCTTGGGTCCTCTTTTGAGAAATAATGACCAGTATCCAAAAAATGAAAGAAACCACCTTTGATATTTCTACAGAGGAGGTCTGCATTGAAAGACGTGTTGCTGAGACTGGCCTGTGTTGCACTTTCTCTGTTCCCCTCTATTTCTATCTGTGCTCTGAAGGTATGTTTCTGTGTGTTCATGTAGGTGTCACCGCAAACTCTGTCCACCCAGGTATTGTCATGACAGAAGTGTTGAGACACTATCCATTTATGATTCGTTTGCTTTTCAACCTCATTGGATTTTTCTTTTTCAAGGTGGGTACATTGCTCTCACTGGATTACACCACTGCACTTTGTGTTAAATTGGCTTTGACACTGTACACAGTGTACCAGATCGTTCAGCTAGAAAGCCAAGGTTAACTGTTAGCAGATGTTTCACAGCTCCACAACCTCATTTCACAACTGTTCTTCAGAAATCACTATTTTTAGTTGTTGCAACTTTGAACTTTCACTTTGCTACATTTCACAGCCAAATATCTGACTTTTTACTCTGTTACATTCTGCACGAGACCTGGTTACATTGTTATTAGTTGCCTATGCAGCGCACCTGAGTGGAGCAGCATTGAAAAATAACTGTGAAACTGATAAAGCCGACTTGGCACAAATAAACTTCGCATAGGCTACGCAGTGAGAGAAATCAGGTAAAGAAAACTCAATGAGAGTGACTGCGTGAATGTCAGGTAAACATGTGTTCTCTTCTCTCAAAGTCTGAGCCATGAATCAAAACTGAAAATAAAGTTCTGAAAGGTTGAAACTAAGTGTTTGAAAACTCAAAATCTTACCCAAAAAGAGTTTTGCAAGATCGAAATCTAAGATTTGCTGGCTTGCAAAATATTGCCTGGAGATCCCCCACCCTCCTCAGAGAGGTGATAGCGAGGAGAAAGGTCATTTTAAGGGTCAATTGCTTGGCCTCAGCCGACTCCAGGGGTTCGAAGGGGGCCTCAGCCAGCGCTTCAAGAACCACTGCCAGGTCCCAGGTGGGAACCCTGGAACGAGTCACGGGTCTCATCCTCCGGGCTCCACGGAGGAAGCGCACGACGAGCGGAAGCCTCCCCAAGGGCCCATCACTCAGAGGGGCGTGGAATGCTGCAATGGCAGCCACATATACTTTGAGTGTGGACGGGGAGAGGCCAGCGGAGAAACGGTGCTGGAGGAACTCCAGTATCACAATTACCGAGCAGGTAACTGGGTCCACCGCTCGTTCTCTGCACCAGGTTGTGAACACATTCCACTTTAGGCGGAAGAACCCGATACTGGTAAGCTGTGCCCCCGAAGGTGAACCTCAGGAACTTCCTGTGAGAGGGACGGATGGAGATGTGGAAATAAGCGTCTTGTAGATCTATCGTGACAAACCAATCCTCGGATTGGATGTGACTGATGATGGCTGGGATGGTAAGCATCCTGAACCTGAATCTCCTCAGAGATTGGTTCAGGGACTGCAAATCCAAAATCGGACGCAATCCTCCGTCCTTCTTGGGGACCAGGAAGTATCGGCTGTAAAAGCCGGCTTCTCTGACTGGCAGGGAAATTAATTCTATGGCCCCTTTCTTCAGAAGAGAGCGGACTTCCTGTCCCAACACCTGGCTCTATTCTGCGTGTACTGTAGTCCCGACCATCCCACAGAATCTGGGGGGGCGAACCCGGAACTGCAGCTTGTAGCCATCTACTACTGTGCGGAGGACCCACGGGGAAATGTTCGCCAAGCTTCCGCGAACTTCGCCAAGGGGACCTCTGCCTCGGGGCTGGTGGTCGGTGTCCCACGGGAATCCCCGGTGGCCCCCTGAAGCGGAGGGCCGCCAGGGAAGGCTCGCCGGTGAATAATTATGGCAATATAATTTTTTTCAATAACAATATAACAAATGTTCATGTATTCAATAAATGTTTGATTTTATTCCCTTGAATCATACACAAATTAGGACTTAATTTTTTATTAAGATGGTTATTTTGTTGAGGAAAAAGGACTGAAAAAAAAAGCTTTTACTTAATTTTACTCATGCATATGTGTTGAAAAAGATTTTATCATAATTGTTTTGAATGTTCTACCTCAGATTTGTGAAGTGATCCACTGTTTGGCATCAAGTGGTGACCATAAAGACGAGTTTAAACCACAATTAACCATCAGGTTTCTTCAACAGCAAAAATCAGCCTTTAAACAAAAGAAATAAAGATTTGATGCTTATTGTGATAATTATCGAAATCGGAAGATATGAAACTTTTTATCGTGATAACATTTTTGGCCATATCGTCCTGCCCTAGTCTTGATTTTCTTCTCGTTTAGGCTTTAATAACTTTAAATAAATAATGAGAATGAGTGAAGAGCAAGGGTAGATAGGATGGGTTGATAAGAGGCATGTGTGCAGGCCAGAAGGGGGAAGAAGGGAAACCACACCCATGTCAACACACAAGACCCAGACAGGGAGATACTGACAGAGGAGCAGTGGAAACACAGGGGAGGGGGAACTTTTCATTCTAAGCTCTTCCTGGTGAGATGTGATGACTCTAGTCTAGGGGTGACTCTAATAATTCAATCACTCAAACAAGAAACTTTCTCATTGTCATGATGTTGAGGCATGGACTGTCTGTATCGATGCTCTCATCCTCTTTTTCACAAAAACAACCCTGACTATACAAGTCTTCTGGCATGTTCAACTTAAAGTGACCTCTTTTCAATGTTTGTACGCTTGACTAAACTTACTTTCTGACTAATTATTCAAAAAAAAAATTCCTTCAACACTAGTAAATAATGTGCTAACTCAGAAGTCTTTGGATAATGAATAGAGACCCAATGCACACCACTTTGGCATGTTTGTTACAAGCAACAGTCCCCAGCTGTTTAGAAATCACTTTTTTTTATTACATTATATATTTAGGAGCCATTTTAAAAAAGTTTAAAAAATCTTTGCTAAAAGCGAGTTGGGGGCTTGACTCTAACAGCTAACAGCATCATGGAGTGTGTCACATGTGATTAAGGGTTACACACACACAGTTTTCACATCCATGCTATGTTTATATGCAGTTTCACATCAGTTCACTTTTATCAGTTTTGTTGTGACAAGTCTGTTTCATTCTCAAGGTGCAAACACTTGAACACAAACCCTTGTAACGTGTGATGTGTAATCTATGATATGTGGAGGCAGATTATCTTGAACAACTGGTTATACTAGACAGACATCAGGCCAGAAAACACCCATTCCTTCATTTGCACCTGCAGGGACATCTATCTATTGTTTGTTGCTAGCTGTACTCTCATATATCCTCTTCACCATCCATTGTCTCCCTCTCAGTCTCCAGAAGAGGGTGCAGTCAACTCAATCTACTGTGCAGTTGCAGAAGAAATGGAGGGGATAACTGGGAAGTATTTTGACAGCGACTGCTCCCTGGTTCTCCCTGCCCCTTTAGCTCGTGACCCTGCCCTTGCGGTAAAGGACTTTGAGATCAGCGCGAGACTAACGTCGAAGCTCTGAAACCACTATCAGGCAAATAGAGGCTTGATAAAAGAAAAGGGGTCAAATTATACTGTACTTCTTGAGTGAATGTGTCTTTAAAATCAATAGGTGAAGTTTGTGAATGCATTTTTGTAGCAGCTAATTAAAAGCAACATGAATTGAAGTTCTTTTTTAAAACGGATGCACAAATAAATCATGTACAGTATATGAATATTTGTATAATATTCTCTGCATTGGCTTGAATGACAGGCTTGTTTTAGTTGTGAAAATGGTGAATGGTGTTTTCTTCTTTGTAAGAACGCCCTATGACCTTTATTCAGGTTTGTGAATGAGTGAAATGAAAAGAGCTTCCTGAAAGAGATGCTGACACCGTGTGGCCAACTCAAGCTGACATGCTTCTTCAGAAACGACAACAGAAACTCCAGTACATGACATCTCTTTTATTTGCTGATTCATTAAAACAATAAAACATTTAAGCATTGGGTGCTTTTTGAAGAATTTAAACAGCATCTATCGGCCCCCTTGAGTCTCGCTATTTGGCTGCAAAGACAGACATAGTGAGAGGAATGTATGGTTACTAAAGAGTTTTTTAATAACAGCACTATCACTTGTTAGTATGTGTCTACTAATCTTTGGATAATAAGAGAAAATACAGTGTTTTGGGTTCTGCTGTGAAGCTTTTTCTTTTCACAAATGTGTCTCACAACATCTTCCATAACTCATAAATTTACACCTTTCTGACGTTCATCCACTATTTCATGGATGATCTCCTCGATCACCGGAGCCACATGATCCAGCTGTTTGGGTGAAAGACGGAGGGCAATCTCCACTGTTTTACCCTAGAAACATAAAAAAAGTGGTGATGGCTTGAATTTAATCACACAGTTTGGTGGAAACAGCAACAATAATTGGGGGTGAAGGTGGAGTGTGTGTCTAAGTGCTTGTTTTACCATATGTGTGGTGTCCTAAAACCGGAACACCATTGTACTTGTGGGGTCTGACAGTTTTGAGGGTCAAGTCTTGGTTTTAGTGTTAAGGTAAGAATTAGGTTAAAGTTAGGCATGTAGTTGTAATAAGTAAGGGGCTAGGTAATGCATTAGGTCAATGATAGGTCACCGCAAAGACAGTGCCACAAGGCTGTGTGTGTGTGCGCTCACAGGATTTCCACCACGTTCCACCTGAAGAAGCTGTTGGACTGTAACCTCTTCGAACTGACCATCCTCTGATCGAGGCTCCACATCTTTTCTACCTTCTCGTTCCTGTAGCATAGGCACATATAAACACAAAGCACGTATATTTACACAAAAATGGAAAACCAAATGGACTTCCAAAACCTCAGTCATTTCTGAGTCATTTCTTTAATGTACTTAAGTATGAAGAGCCTCAATACCTACATTCATCCCGTATTAATTAATTAATTATAAGAAAGTTTATCAGCTTCTAAAGCTGATGATACACAGAGCAACTTTTAGAGCAATCGTGCAGGACAACGTTGCCGTCAATGGTAATGAGTAAAGATTACTACTGTAATCCCCTTCCCCCACCACTCCGCAACCCACCCCACACCGCCACTATGCGTTCAAAACATAGTCAGACTTGCCACTAGCAAGATTGCCCAGCAACATTGCTCAAAAAGCTGCCCCATGTATCATCAGCTTTAGACTGCTTTGGCACTGCAAGCAACCTCCACTTCAAAACTTCAAAACTAAAACTCCAAACTGCCAAAATTCATGAGAAGTGATTCTGAAATTGTTATTCCATCTTTCCTGCAGGATAAAATGGACAAAATACTTCTCACATTTTAAAAATTGATTCATTGTTTTGTCTATAAAAATTGCACAATGCAATTTTCCACAGTGATATTTGTTTTGTCCAACCAACACACCATACCCAAGTATTTAATTGTCAAAATATTTGTTTTCGCTTTCTGTTGTTCGACTAGTCGTTTATTCATATTTATTTGTTACAAATATCATATTTTGCAGAAATCATGTTACATAATGAAATTGTTGCTCATCCAGTAAAGCTACCAGACAAAATAATGTAAAACTGTATTGACACTTACTCATGTGATTACACTGGAAAGACATCAGCCACTACTATTAAGTCGTCACTCAGCCCTACTTCTGCACATGGTCCAATCAAACCTCGAGCTGCTTACCTTCATCAGCATCATCTCCTTTGGGCTGAAGAAGGTGATGTGTCCCTCTGTCCTCTCGGCCAGTTGCGCCACCAGGCACACCAGCACCAAGCAACCAGCCACTGCTCTACGCATGCTCATTCTGCTCCTTCCTGGACACACACACACACACATACATAGGCAATCAGGCATACACACAGAACGGTATGTTCAAGTGTACAGTATTGCCAGTGTTTTCACGTGATCAGGGGTCAGTGACACCAAGGCCAGGACACTTACAGATTTTTTTAGCAGTGTGAAAGAGGCGACAGTCAAAATGTTTCATCATACATTATTTGAAAAAAGGTGCAATGTGTGTGTGTGTGTGTGTGTGTGTGTGTGTGTGTGTGTGTGTGTGTGTGCGTGTGCGTGTGCGTGTGTGTGTGTGTGTGTGCCAGAAACAATAAGTAGCATTTAGAGGAAGAAGGACACGGGATAGGAGGGGGGGGGGGGGGAGCATGGAAGTAATAAACAACAAACTGCTCCACTGACAGGCAAGATAAGACACCAGAGCGGACCAGCCATACTTAACAACAGCAAGACAACTCTGTGCACAATTCTATGAGAAAGAAGACAGGACGTCAAAGAAGAGTAACAGAGAGTGAGGGAAAGGCTGAGAGAGAGAGGGAGAGAAAGAGACGCAGAGGGAGCCATATGTTACTCACGTGTTTTGTCAGCCTCAGCCAGTCGGAAGTGTGCTTTAAGATGAGCAGAGCTTCTGAGCGTCAACTTATCCCAGTCAGCTTTTATATCAAGCCCTCTCCTGGTCCCTAAGCTTTTTACTGTTCTCCCTCACATCCGCTCCTCAACAGGCTCCTTCAAGCACTCTCCTCCATGCTCCTGGAAACACACATGTTGCTCAGGAATCTGGCTTTTTATGAGGGCATTAAGCTCACCAGGCTGTGTGTATGCAGGCGTTTAACAAGACTGACAAAGTGACACGTTTTGTGAGCAACCCTGTGGTGTCTGCATATTATCAGGAGGTCTGTGCGAGCTATAGGATGCACAAGTTCTGCACATAACCAATGCATTTGATAGGACACTGTATTGTGAATTATTTGGAGAATTTGTCTGAGCCCTCATGGATCATAAAGAAACGACTAAACAGTCTCATTTATTCAGGAGGAAGGGTCGCCAAAATTAAATTCTGAAAAAGATTATTGTGATTAATGTACTGGACTGTGTGTGTGTGTGTGTGTGTGTGCGTGTGTGTGTGTCTGTCCTAAAAGGGTCCATCAGAAATCACAATGTGACATTTATGACCTGCCAGTAAGTTATACTTGTGTACAAACAGACCCATGAGCAATAGTTCCTTGGAAACCTCATGACTCTAAAAGAACTTTAATGATGCTTCTTCCTACATATTGACACGTATTCCTGCACGACGGTGAAGTGTCAATACTCTGCAGGAGTGGACAATGAGAAGTACTGCCAATGTTCCACCTGGTTTATGGCATTTCAAGTACACAAGTGCAGTATTGTACCCCTTCTGTAGCGCTTCTTTTACCACCACCACCACCACAATGACGCGCAAGCTCTCCTTACATTTTTCCCTCACCTAATGTTAGGCTTTTTATAATGTGTTTCTATGTAGGCTACATAGATTCTTTTCATACATATATATCTGTCTGGTGAAGTAGTATTTTGTAGCTTTTTAAATGTTTCTTTATGATCTTGTCTTCATGATGAATAGGTTATGTGAATTGCATGTACTAGAACTACCATATACTATGTATGAGTCACATGATTAAAGGATATGTTTGGTAATGGTTTCATTTTTAAACAGTTTTGTACTTTTCTTAATCAGCACTTTAACCTTATAAGTCATTGTTTTATTTCATACCTTGTGTGTTGAAGTACAAAGCCAAAATTACTCCTTACTGCACTGACTAATGGACCTTCCCTTTATATGATCAGTCCGGCCATATTCTATATTTTCCTTATTGTCAACAAATCCCATAAAAAGACAAAACAACACAGAACAAGTATCAAATAACAAGTACTGTGTTTAGCCAACGCCTGATATAGTTTATTTCTCTGTGCTGAAAATGCTGAAAATATTGGTTGATTAACTGATTAATCAATAGAAAATTAATCTGCAACTATTGTAGCAATTGATTAAATGTTAAGTAAATTTGAATGCAAAACCACCAAAGATTCACAGGTTCCAGCTTCAAAATGTGATGGTTTGTTGGTTTCCTTAGTTTGCTATTTTATTATATTGAATTGAATTATAAGGAAGTGGTCTTAAATCTCACGCCTGAGTGATTTGCAGGACCCTCTGTCCACCTATAAACGCGCAGGTGGGTCCAGAGTATAACTGGATCAAAGTGGCCTGCGGACAGACATGTCCTGGTTTCTCTGTAGTGTCCGAGTGCTTTTGGAGTTTCAGTGGACCCAAAGATTGCTATGGACCCGAGTAGAGACTAGCTAGAGAGAGTAGATTAAGTGTACTTCTCTGTTTATTCTCTTTTCAAAATAATTGTAACTCAATTATTTGCTCAACCCCTCAGCCTGTTTTTTCATTTTTCATTTAACTCTTTTAACCCTGATTGTACACTGCACTGTAACTTATTATATTTTAATGTGTATTTTTTTCAATTTCCCTATGTTGCTTTATGTTTTATGTAAAGCACTTTGAATTACCTTGAAATGTGCTATACAAATAAACTTGCCTTGCCTTGCCTTGAATATCTTTGAGTTTTGGACAAAACTGAGACAATGTCACCTTCCAGGCCTCAGAAATTGTGACTGGGATATTTCCCAGCATTTTCTGGCATTTTACAGGCTAGACTAAACGGCTAGCCTAATTAGTCTAACCCCAGTATTAGACTTCCATGTGTCTAAAAATTGTAAATAATAATAATCATTAAATAAATAAAGAACACATAAGTGAGCCACATCATTGCCTGGGTGACACATACCCTTCATTACCATGAACATGGGCACTGTAGTTTAATTAGTCTCCATCACATGTACACATCCCGCTGTAGTAAATAAAGCACTAATGTGTACTTATCTGTGGCTGAAAATAGTCCCCAAAATGCACTGTTTACTCCTGTTTGACTGGCATTTACTAAAATCTACAGAGCCCAGCTGTTTTAGAAAACTGCCAGAAATGGTATAATGGGACAGCACTTTGCAATATATCATGTTACCTTGACGAAGCCAAAACATGTTATGTGCAATGTGGGTTTGGGATTTTTAATTTTACATATTTTACTGTCTTCATGGCCAAGGGACCGACTGTCTGATTTGAACGTATTCCAGGCTCTTGCCGTACGAAGTGGATGAGATGTAGCATATTTACAAATAATCGAACTAGGTATGCCTTTGTTAAACGCCTCAAAGTCTGTGAGTCTATGTTTAGAGATTGTAATTCAGGTACTGTTATCAACCTGACTGGTGTATTCATCCAGAGGCATACCTGTGTGGGTGTGCAGACATTTAAGGATTTACAGGAGAACTTTAGTACAAATGGGTTAAGGGGTTGAGTGCCACATATGGAAGGAAACTATCTAAAGATGCAGTAACGCATTGTTCGTTGTGGTCTTTTTGTGGGATTTGTTAACAATGAGAGAAATATAAAATAACATGAGCCTTAAACTTGAACATTTTACGTGATCAGTTGAAACAGTCTTTCTGCTCTGTATCAAGAAGGGGGAGGCTCTGATTACTTAGATATGTATACAGACAGATCTAAAGATGAAGAGGACAAGGTAGGAATAGAAATATATATACCAACAATGAATGTAAGTATAGGGAAAAGATTACCTGATCAGCTGTCAGTGTACACGGCAGAAATTATGGCGATTATTGTAGGACTGCAGTGGGTAGAGGAAGTAAAAAGAGACAGAGTAGAGTGTTTTGTTGATTCCATAGCAGCTCTTTATAGTATTCAAAATATGAAATCTAGTAGAGAAGATTTAATGCTAGAAATCCAACAAAGTTTATTTAGACTGCAGATAGATGTGAGATTCTGCTGGGTACTGCCCACGTAGGTATAAAAGAGAATGAGGGAGCAGACTAAATAGCTAAAAAATCAACCAGGATGAACTATGTCATAAATATACCCTTTGGAAAAGGAGAAGTTAAGGCGATAATCAAAAACGATATGATGAAGAAATGTCAGGACAGGTGGGATGTGGATAAAAGTGGAAGGAAATATTACAGTTTGCAAAAATCTATTAATGCTCAGGGTGTGACTACAAGTAACAGAAGAGAGGAGAGCGTTTTAACCAGGCTAAGGTTTGATCATTCAGGGTTAAATATAACATTGTTTTTAATGGGCAAAAGTCAATCAGATGAATGTTTAGAATGTAGGTCCAAGGAAAGTGTAGAACATGTACTATTCGACTGTAGTAAAAATATGGATGAGAGGATGAGGTTAAAGCAAAAGATAAGTCAGGCAGGAAGGAAGTGGGACCTTGAAGGTTTATTAGGCACAACAGGAGATGGGGTAAAGGATACACAGAAAGCTGTTGTACAATATATTGTAAAATATAGGGATATATAATAGAATTTAGCTTTTTGTTTTTTTAGGCTATTTATTTGTTTTGTTTATTTGTTTATCTATTTTTACCTTTAAAAGTCATGGTTGCAATAAAACAAAAAGAAGAAGAAGAAGAAGGGGGAAGGCTCTCTGCTAGTTCTCGCGATGTTAGGCTGTTTTCGTGGTACTTGGGTCCCGTGGCAGTTTGCTGAAACGTGTGACTGCAGTCTTTCCGCTGAGGTGACGGAGCTGAGCAGACACGGATTGTGTGCTGCTGTAGAGATTTACTCATCATGGTAAGAAAAGTAGTGTTGGGGTTTTCGGCGTTGTTACAATGGCTGGCATTGTAGAAATCCGTCCAAGACTCTTTTAGATTACCGATGCTTTAAAAGTAGAAATGGCTGTTTTCATATATTTACTCTTGTGCAGTTGAAGGCCTTTAACTCGAGTGGAGCCACCCGTGTGGCTAACATTAGCTGCGATATGCGCATATATTTAAGTACTTAAACTGCCATTACAGGCAGTAAACGTGCACAGCTTTGTAAGACGCAGTCATGCAGTTGAAGGTCGGTGTACGTTTTTTTCGCTCCACACTAGTTTATTTAGTGTTTCTGGGCTAACGTTAGCTGCTAGCAGAAGTTAGCTTAGCAGTTTCCGCACGGGCCCAGGTCAGCACGTGGGTTCATCGTGACGCCAGCGTGGTTGCGTCTGAAAAGGTTATGGTAGTGTATTAGGCCACTAGACTGAAGTACGAATCGACCTGTATGCATAAATATTGCATTTAAATGCAGTAAGTTATTGCGTGCGTTACCTACGTAAAATCAGCTACAATGCTACCAAAAATAACGGGCGGCTCAGCGGTTAATACTATGTAGAGAACAGTAAACACATTATACAGAAAGTATCGATCAACACGCGCTGTAGTGGTAATTCATTGTTGCTTGTGCTAATATTTGTCTAACTCCATAATTTAATGCATTTACCTTGCGCAGGTGCTGTTGCACGTGTTGTTCGAGCACGCGGCGGGCTACGCGCTGTATGCCGTCAAAGAGGTGGAGGACATAGGCATGCTGCTACCTCAGGTGGGTCTTCTGTCCTCGCTGCTGCTTCAATCTATTTTCAGTATGGAGCACAGATAAACGTGTTGCTGTGTTTCAGGTGGAGCAGAGCGTGCTGAGCATCGGAAAGTTCAACAGCATGGTGAGCCTGGCTGCCTTCTTCCCCTTCAAGTCGGCCCAGGCTGCGCTGGAGAACATGAACGCCATTTCTGAAGGCAAGCTAACTTCCTAGCGTTACTGTGGCTCTATTGCTGTCCTCAGTTGTAATGATGTTTTATAATCTGTCAATCCACTGAGTTAATGTGCTGACAAACTAATGTAAACCCTGAACATCTGAGGAAAGCCATTTGAAATGCAGCAGTGGTTGAGTATACGGACCTGACATCATTTTTAAATTTGGCTAGCTACAGAATCATTTGAATTTATGTAAGTCAGTACAGTTGCCTCCTAACTTGCTGACATACAACAGATTCGTAAAGTCTGAATTAATGCTGTCTGCAAAGCAACAACAAAAGTGCCTGCTTTCAGAATGGAGTTTGGTGCGGATAAATCTATGCTAACTTGTGTTGTGACAAATTCACTTAGCTTTGTGTGAACACTTGACTGCAGTTTAAACAAATTTTTCCTGATTGGACTATGGTTAGTTGACTGCATGAAGTCACATTTGTCAGTGCCACATCTTTCAGATGGCTTTGCTGCAGAATCTTGAACTTCATACATTTAGCATACAGTTAAATGGGTAACGTTGCCTCCTTCACTTGCAGGTGTGGTTCATGCAGACCTGAAGTTGTTCCTAGAGACAAATCTGCCCCTGTCTGGGAAGAAGAAAGCGGTGTTGGGCGTTTCAGATGCAAAGATCGGGGCAGCTTTGCAAGAAGAATTTAGCCTATCGATCCAGACCGGTGGGGTGGTGGCAGAGATAACCAGAGGTGAGATAGTTTGTCTCTAATTTATTTACCCTACATAAGTTGGGCTTAAGTAGAGATTAGAGAACATGAGACCTAGTATTTTAGAAATCATGTGGCCTGTTGTGATGTGATCTTGTGATCCTGAAACTCATGAAGGTTCATACTGAAAATCTGAACAGCCACTGATCATGTGCTGCTCTGCTTCCGTTACACTTAACTCCAACCAACCCTTTCTTTATCTATCGGTCCTGTCAGGTGTGCGTCTGCACTTCCACTCCCTGGTGAAGGGTCTGACTGCCCAGGCTGCCTCCAAGGCACAGCTGGGTCTTGGCCACAGCTACTCCAGAGCTAAAGTGAAGTTCAATGTCAACAGAGTCGACAACATGATCATCCAGTCCATCGCTCTGTTGGATCAGCTGGACAAAGATATCAACACTTTCTCCATGCGTGTCCGGTAAGGTTCCCTTCATCACACCACTAAAACAAAATGTGTGTCTGGGTTAAGAGGAAAATGGTTTCATATCCTCCCTGGCACCTCTGCTCTGCCAGCTGTTGTCTAGTGAAGCCATTGACATTTGTTCACATATGCTGGCACTCGCCAAGCATGCCATTAATGTTGCTACCAAAGTTTGTAGCTTCTGCCTCAGGATATTACACGGTGGCGTAGCATTTTATTTTTGTTTGGGTATATATTTTTTTTCACAATCTCTGCCTTGTGTCTGCAGTGAATGGTATGGCTACCACTTCCCAGAGCTGATCAAGATCGTGCCAGACAACTCAATGTACTGTCGCCTGGCTCAGCTCATCGGAAACCGGAAGGAGTTGTCAGAGGAAAGTCTGGAGAGCCTAGAAGAAGTGGTGATGGACAGCGCCAAGGCTCAGGCCATCCTGGATGCATCACGCTCCTCCATGGGTCAGCAAGTGAATCTTTTTCATTCTTTACACTTCTACAAACAAATGTAGAGATGTGTAAAAGCATCTTGCTACTTTGTACAGATCTTTGACATCTTTAAGCCCATCTGTACAGCAGTTGGTTGTTTACAGACAAACATTTTTAAAAGGACATGACAAAGCCGCACCATGCCCCTTTTTTGCCCACCATGGATCAATAATTGTCCTTGGTGTCTAACACAGGGGGGCACAGTAACTCTCTCATAAACCTGTAGTGAAGGCACAAATCCTCACTGCGGATCCTGTCGGGAGAAACAAAGACGCTTTGTCTTAAGATTACCAGTATAAATGTTTTGATAGTAAATAAAAGTGAGTACTAGTATGCCTCTGCTCATCAGTCTCCTGATCCTCTCCAGGTATGGACATTTCTCCTATTGACCTGATCAACATAGAGAGATTCTCTGATCGTGTTGTGTCTCTGGCCGCCTACCGGCTGGAGCTGCAGGAGTACCTGCGTTCCAAGATGAGCCAGGTGGCACCAAATCTAGCAGCCTTAATTGGAGAAGTGGTAGGTAATCTTATTTGTTCAATTTCACATAAACAGGACCAATGATGTTATACCAAAATCTGTCAATCCACTGAATCTCTGTGATGACAAACGCATCCGGTGCTGATGGTCCTTAAATTGTGTGCCCAGATTACATCCAAAGCTTCCTTAGAGCTCTGTGTATGTCACCTGGACTTGACACCATCTTTTCTTTTTAGGTAGGAGCGCGTTTGATCTCCCATGCCGGCAGCCTGACCAACCTGGCAAAGTACCCGGCCTCCACCGTTCAGATCCTGGGAGCAGAGAAGGCCCTGTTCAGGTACTGGGGCACCCCCTCCCTGCTGGGGAAAGAAGTGGCTGCAGTGATGGCAGGGCTGGGCAGGAGCAGAGCAGGGTGACCAGGAGACTCAACGGAGGTCTCCTCTGGAGTGATCCCTCTCGCCCAATGCACCCCCACAGTCTGAGCGGCCACTTGCAGCACTGAGGTAGAAATTCTAAAAAGCTAGATAACGCCAGACTTGTTTGTTTTTTGTTTTTTTTCCTGAGATGCTTGATTTTAGAGTGGAAACAAACTAATTTGCACTACATGGGTTTTCGCCGGAGATGCTTTTAATTTGACGAATTGGCACAAAAACTGGAAGAAAGTACAACTGTAACTGATTTCCAAGGAAGCCTAAAATATTGGGTGGGTTTTTGTTTTTTTTTAAAGATGCAAAGCACCTCATTTAACTAGATTGGATTTTTTTTCATTGCTCAGTTTCTCTACAAGAGGGTGCTGAGCAGTTATTGTTAAACCATGTCTACACATGCCAACCTGGAATAAGGGGCAAAGGCCCCAAACAACCATTTACTGAAACCAATGAGGTAACACACTTGCCTCGACCTGATTTCTTTGTCTGTGAACA